TTTGACACTTTATAATCGACATCTGAACATTCGTACAAACGTGGGGAGAAAAAGAATATTCAAACTGTAATAACATGTTGAATTCAGGTTCAAAATTCAAACAGCAGTGTTGTTTTCTTACTCTATTAAATCGACTATAATGACTTTAACAAGATTAGCTCGTTAATCTTCTTGATTTTACCAGATATAAGAAACCATCGATGTTCGTCCAGGCAAACTTGCTCTCCAGTTTATTGATCCATGGAGCCTGAAAGGTGTAGTTCAGGGCCGTCTGGGTGATGTCCAGGGAGGAGGGGTTCATGAAGACAAAGGGGACACAGGTCCACTGCAAAGACAAGGAAAAACATGGCAGCCACTGAAGTGAGAAGACGTATTTAGTATAAATTACTTGAACTACAAAATAAGCCAAGGCCATGAAAACTTAACCATGGGAAACCCACACCTCTTACAGATACAAACATAAAGTTAATATCACTTTATTAGTTACATCTGTTTCAATCCAATGCAATTCAGTACAACAGGCCTATAATTGATTTTTTTCAATTGTATGTTTGTTTGTTTATGACAATAATAATAATAACTAGAAAATTCCTGGTTGAACTTTTGAATGTTCCTACTGCTAGGTGCTTGTACTTCACTCCTCACGTTCCAAAATGTACAAAGGATGTTACTTTCAGTTTCATTCATATTGTAGAGAGTGTAATCCTGACACTGACCTCAGTCACTGCAGGTGTCCCTCAAAAAGCCTTTTGAAGCTGTCACGACTGGCCAAAATAACCTCACACTGATGGTTTCAAACACAAATTTGTCCCCACAACCACAGAAAGACATGTATACACACATGTACATGCCCTTAAAGAAGTTCATCTGTAATAAAGCTATACCACTATATCCCCATGTAGACAAAAGCTTCTAAGAGACTTTTATTTTGAAGGGTAATCAAAATTGTGAAGATGGTGTTTGTGTGTGTCTGTCAATATGCGTGTGTGTATTGTTGTGTGTCTATATGGTGGTGATGGTGTTTGTGCATTTTTCAATGTATGTGTGTGCATGTGTGTGTGTAAGTGTGTGTGTGTGTGTGTGTGTGTGTGTGTGTGTGTGTGTGTGTGTGTGTGTGTGGGGCTATGTGTGTAAACATCACAGAGGTCAAAGAGTCTCTTAATGAGCTGTTTTGAACACCTGTGTCTAGCTGGAAGACACGGAGCTGACACAGCTGAGTGAGATTTTGTCTTGGCGAGCCTCTCAAACAACTGGTATTTTTGAAAAGAACGGTAACTCCTATGAGAACCATGAGCCAGTTAAGGTCAAGACCTTACAATACAAGTCTCTGTGCTAAGGTAGACACTTTCTAAGGAACAGCACGAATTTGTCTACTACCGAGGAAGCCACGATGTGTGAAGACTGAAATATGTGGCCGTGAGGACGAGTTCAACAGAATTTTTTTAGAGGAGTTCTAGAGCTTCTCCCACTCTAGCGATGATGTCATCCACTCTAGCTCTGAACATTCCGTGCAATACACACCCATTATAGCACTGTGACCCATTTAACATTTCAAGCATTTTTCTATGTAGAAGTTTGATGCAACAGTAGAGTTCGAAAGAGGGCTGGGATTGGTTGTTTTGAAGACGTCTCCCCATTCATTCTCTATGGGAATTCTTTCACTTTTTATTGCCATTCACTTCGTCATGATTACTACCATTCCTGATTGAGCCGCGCGCACTGATATATATATATTGTTTGGATTTTCTCAAAGCTGGGGGACTACTTACTGGCCGAAATTTGGATACGGAAGATGAATAAGATAAACTAGAAAATGCATCTCCTGCTGAAAATGCGTGTGAATGCTGAGAGATGAATGATATTGCCGAAGCAATGCTGAAGAAGCTGAAGCAACTGCTAAAGCAATGCTGAAGTAGCTGATGCAATGGCTGAAGATTAAAAGCAAAACTTGTAAGCTGGAGTTTGAATGTCCTGAAATGGTTGAAAAATGATCCATTCGCTGCAAAAGCTGAGAACTGCAAACATGTTGTTGAAACAGTTGGAAACCAAATTATTTACTGTCAAAGGTGGAAGAAGGGATAAAATGCCTTAAAATGTGAAGAAGTAATCATTTCTACTAGTAACAAAAAGATGAACTTCATCCTAAACAGTAAAAACTTTCATTTAAGACATCAATAGCTATAAGTCTTGTGAACAGACAAAAAAGGGTCACTTCTGCTTTTCTCTGGAAATCAGCTCCTGAATTTCTATTGAAGTCAATGGGGGAGGTGGAGGGTACTCCCATCACTTTGAGGCTTATGGTCAAATTCTGTAAGTCTCTGTGCTAAGGTAGACACTTTCTACAAAACAGCACAAATGTTTCTACTATGGAGGAGGCTGTGATGTGTGAAGACTGAAATATGTGGCCGTGAGGACGAGTGCCACAGATTTTTTTCAGAAAAATACTAGGTAATACCATTTATAAATGACATGACTTCTGTGCTTGAATTGAATAACAGCTAGTTTTCTTTTCCAGTGATCACTGTGTTATTGTTATTGAACAGAGATTGTCCCAAAGAGAATATTTCATTTGAAGGGAATCAATACTCAACACTTTGAAACTGATAAATCAAAAGCTTCTTCCTGTCTTAAAACTACAGATATGAAACTATATCATTACTGAAATTAATTAAAATAATTACTGAACTCACCAGGGTGATGAATATTAAGACGAGCTGTATGATGTCAGTGTAGGCCACAGAGTAGAGTCCGCCCAGCAGTGTGTAGACAATGATGACGATGACAGAGATCCAGATGCTGACAGTGTAGGACAAATCCAAAATCACACTTGTGGTGCCACCTGTTACCAACACAGGAGACGATTTTATTGTTTGTTACATCATTTTATTGACTTACATTAAATTCCTTTTTTTTTTTAAAGTATATTTTTTTGGGCTTTTTATGCCTTTATTTGATAGTGCAGTAGAGAGAGACAGGAATTGGGGAGGCAGAGAGAGGGGGAATGACATGCAGCAAAGGCCGTCCGATGCGGAACTCAACCACTACGCCACACGACGCCCCCTTACATTAAATTCCTGACTAAGCACTACATACTTAATACCAACGCTCCCAAAAACCTTCAGCTGCTCTCATTCAAACCTTTACCAAAAAGCAAAGATTTCCCCTAAAAATTTGATGGTTTAGTCCCAAAATGAATCCCCATAATGTGACAGTGTTTACATGTTTTTTTTTTTTATTCAAACTAGTAAAATGCTCATTATTGAAGAGGTAGAATACAATAGAAACCAGAGGCTAGACATGGGTAAAGTGCAAACATACTGTACCTAAACCAATCAGTAATCCCGACAACCACAAAAAATCAATCAGCAGTGCACACAGTGACTGAAGGGCCATCACTGCTTTCCCATACTTGACATTGAAAGGGTCCAACATGGTGACATACTTGTTGTCTCTCATGGGTTTGGCGAACACAAGGCCACCTTCAAAATAAAAGACAGATTGTTATGCTGTTGGCAGGATGCAGACACATGTTCAAGAGAAAACAGTAAAGGGTCATCATTTCAATAATTAACATAAATAAGAAAGACCCCGTGTTTACCTGCTACTGACATGCAATCTGTATGTGATACCAACATCTCATCATGTTTTATTATGAGTCGTCATCAACCATCAAGGGAAGCTATGCGTGATGTAACAGCCAGCGGATGCATTACTAAATGTCTTGACTACCTGTCCTAATTACACACTGGTGTTTCTTAAGTGCTTTTCTAGCTCCTGGGAAAGTTTTAATAAATGCAAAAAACTCAAAATGGTTTAAAAACCATAATACAACCAGTGATAATTGACTTTATTCCAACTGCAATCTGTTCTGTGTGCAATTCCTGTTGAAATAAATCTCCTTTAAAGGTCCTATATTATAGTTTTGATATCCATAAGTAGATATATTTGTGGTTTTAAGAACCAAAACCCATCTCAGTGTAGTTTCACATCTCCTCTCTCAGGCTTCTCTCTGGAGCTCTAGTAACAACAGGTCGGTGAGCCAATCAGAAGAGAGGAGGCTCTGAGCCTCTCTTCTGATTGGCTGACTGTTTTCTGAGTGATCCAATAAAAATATAGCAGATTTCAGGTAAAAACACTCAGAGAAACCAAATCCTGCAAGGTTTGGATGGTGGGTCCAGGTGGGCGGGGCTTGGTGACTGCTTTGTTGTGACATCACAAAGTTCCAGAAGTCCTGACGGCTGGTTTTAAGGCTCAGTTTCTGAATACAGGCTGTGTGCATTTCTCTGTGGACTGAGGCTTTGATACTTTCACAGTATTAATATAGAAGCTAGAGCTGATCTATAATCACACTACACATGGACACAGACCTTTACACTGGAGGAGCTTTAATATCCCTCTGAACTTGGTTATTTGTTATTTTGACATTGTTACACAGCGAGCTAACGCTAATGTGTTTTGAATTTTATTATAAATCATCAATACTTACCTAAAATAAAACAAAAAGAGAAAGCTGTTAACATGATTATGGCTGACGTTAGTCCCATGGAGGGGGTGTAAGTCATCTCACTCAATCCCATGATAAAACATCCTCCAACCCACGTGGCTACGGGACGAACAAGCACATAGAAACAGAGCCATGAGTTCACAGGAGGAGCAGGTACAGTTTAGTTTTCTATTGAAAACGGTCGTCAGCACAGTTTGCAGGTTTTGGTCTGTTGACATTCTTCAGCTTTAGTGTCACCTGTATTTCCTGTTCCCTAAATTCAAAGAGTGCAGCAACAGCCTCCACAACAATAATACATCACCTGTCATTGTGAAGGCCCCCACCACCTTGTTTATGCTTCGGTTTCCCAGCAGGGCCATGTCCATCTTGTTAGCTGCACTTTTGCTCTCCTCCCTTTTGGACTTGACAGACGCCCAGATCCCGACCCCGAGAACCAGCAGGTAGAAAACCATCATCACTGCCACTCCCAGGATGTTGACAGCCATGCTGTAGTTGAGGACTGGGAACAAATATATACTGTAAGATAATGGACTAACACAGAAACTGAGGTTTAACTTTCCTCCAAGTCACAACAGTAGCAGTCGAAATGTGGAATTAACAAATGCTGCTTTTCTTAAGAAAAATCTCCTCAAATTTGGAGTCAACCCCAATTATTTCATTTAAATACTTTTGAGAAATGTGCTGTTATTCTTTTTGGCTGAGTGCTACATAAGAAAGATGATAGCACTCAGATATCAGTCCATTGAATATAGGAATCCAACCAGCAGCAGGTTAGCTTAGCTTAGCACAAAGGCTTGAAACAGGTAGAAAAAGCTAGCCTCGCTCTATCCACAGCAATTTAGCTTTTTTCAATTTTCCTAATAAAGAACTCATAAGCCACATATCAAGCAAAAACAATAATAATAAGAGACTGTTATTTTGAAAGTGTCTGTGCTTCTAGGTTTTGCTGTATAAATTGCATATAAGGTTTTTTTTTAAAGCCAATAATTATCTCTTACCATATTAAGGCTTTTATTTTGAAGGTTAATCAAAATCGTGGAGATGGTGTTTGTGTTTTGCTGTCAACATACATATGTTTGTGTTCTGTGTGTGTGTGTGTGTGGTGTGCTGTGGTTGTGGTTTGTAAACATCACAGGGATCAAAGAGTCTCTTAACGAGCTGTTTTGAACACCTGTGTCTAGCTGGAAGACACAGAGCTGACACAGCTGAGTGAGATTTTCGCTTTGCAAGCCTCTTAAACAACTGATATTTTTGAAAAGAACGGTAATGCCTATCAGAACCATAAGCGAACCATGAGTGTCACCAGATCTTTGTGCACAGATAATGTGGCTTTGGTGTTTCTAGAACCAAAAATGTGGAAACAGGAGCAAGTTACAAAAAATGGGTCGTTTTTTCTGCTTTTCTCTGGAATTCAGCTTCTGAATTTGTATTGCAGTCAATGGAAAAGGTGGAGGGTACTCCCATCATGTTCAAATTCTGTAAGTCTCTGTGTTAAGGTAGACACTTTATGAAACAGCACAATTTGTTCTGTTTTTGAGGAAGCCATGATATTAATATGTGTACATTTGCATATGGGAGTATCCAAAACACAGTAAAACCCTCATGTTCACCTGGGACAGGTTTACTCTGTGTTCCCAGAATCAGAACCAAGCAAGGTGAAGCAGCTTTTAGTTTCTCTGCTCCTCACCTGTGGAAAAAGCTTCCTGAACACCTGAGATCTGCTGAGACTGTCAGCTTCTGTTATCTTTTTAATCTTGTGCATTTGCTTGTTTTTAATGTCTTTTATCACTGTATTCCCAAGTTTCCTTATGACTAATAATAATAAATAAATCCACACAGCAGTAATGTGGAGTCCACTCACATGTCCTAGTCTGCAAATCTGAGAAGGCCCGAAGACAGAGGAGGAATTCAGAGCAAAGACAGTGACGACCTTCGAGATCTGAAAAAGAAAATAAAAAAGAAGATGATGACGCAATGAAATAGACAGGAGAAACCACAGATCCTCGATTCACAAACAGACTTTTACTTTTACTAAAGAAAAGGTTGATTCCCAGGTAATCAGTCAGAGGAAAAGGCAGAAGAGTCCAGCAGGGAGAAGACGAAGACACTAAAACACTATGAAAACTGCTGAAACACTTGAAACAGACACAAACTGACGCTGAGAGAAGAAAACAGGCTAAATACGCCAGAGGGGGAGGGATAATGAGGGACAGGTGAAACTAATCTGGGAGGGGCAGAGTGTAAATGCAGACCATGATGGAGAAGGAGTATTTTAATATTAACATTTGACTGTTGTTTAAATTCTCTTTTGGAACAGCACCTTCAATATTTCTGTTGATTCTGTTGGTGATAATAAACTGTTTATATCCCTAAAACTAATTTAAACAAATTATAAGGAAAATCCTGGCACACGGGGAAGGAACACTTGTTGGTTTGTTGGCAAGAATACAAAAACATGCCATAAATCTTCTGTCACAACAGTACACGTCTTTAACCTGGGATCCAGCAGCAGGTTTCTCCAGCCCTGCTGGTTACCAGTATGTGCATGTGTTGTTCTTACAAGTTTGTACAGGGCTGTGATGGTTAAGACAAGTTGCAGGCATCTTCTCTTGATACAGCTTGAATTACTGAACCTCAGTAACTAAATTCACTAACTCTTTTATTTCATTTGACACTTCTTTTGTTCTCTCCAGGCAGAGATTGGAGCTAAATGCACCACACTAACTACATGGTGAACATGGTCAACATTACACCTGCTTAACATCAACACATTGTGAGCGTGCAGTGTTGGGAGTCGTGGACTTCATGTAATTACACTACTAACTACATGTTGCAGCGTTTGCTGTTCAGATACATTCATTCAAGTAGTTTAATTACTTTTCCATCATTTTTTGTGTCATTAACGACTGAAACTACAAACAATTTCTTCAAAGAAAATGAATGATTTTTTATGTTTAATTTACCATTGCTTCTCTATTGTAATTGAACTCCCTGGATCAGCCCGAGCGCTGAGAAGGCCGCCAGGAAACACATCCGTCAGGCAGCCGCCACCAACATACTTGACCTCTGTGTAGCGCCATGTCTAAAAGCCGAGGCGGCGTCGATCAGCGCTCACACGGCGACATCATCATCATAGATAAACCTCGTGTTATTGTATAGAAAACTAAAGCTGACATTCCCGCACTTTCCCATGATCAGTGATATCTTGGTGTTTGGGTGTGACCTGTCTTAACTTGAACTATCACAACGTCTCAATGGACAGTGTATTAACCAACATTAACGCTGCGCATTACACTAAGCAGATCACTTAAACTGGGTCACATGTGGAGAAACACAAGCCAAACGTCGTTAGATTAAGTCCATTAAATCACCTTTTTATTGGGCTTTGACTGAACACCTCCACGGGCTAACCCAGGTTGACAAAGGTTATCAGCCCAGCGGGGCCAGGTACCGTTAGCATAGCAATCGCTAAAATATCAGCTAACACTAGCACTAGCTGGCTAGCTTGGTTAGCAAGGTGCATCTTCACCTGAACTGTGATATAAACAGCATGTCTGAGATGTACTATGAAGCCAGCCCAGCAGGTGCTTTGTGACCAAGAGGAGGATTGTTTAGATTGTATTCTGAAAACAACAAGTAGCCAGGAAAGTTCAGAGAAGAGAGTTTGTGGTCAGATTTTTGGCTGGACCGCAGCAGCACTGATGACTGACTGACTGACTGAATGCCAATATTTGGCCATTATTTTAATTGCACATTGTCAGTATGCTCCTACACAGGTGGGTGCACAGCGTGTCTGTTTAACACAAGCAGAGTTGTGAAGATGAGCTTCAGGTGTTTGATGTTTAGTCCGGTGGAACATCAGAAAGCAGCCACAGAAGGTCAGAGCATTCTTTGTCAGTACAGATCATTTTATATAACATTTGTTTAAGCTTTATTAAAGTAATGGTGAACAAAAAATAATTGAATCATACTTTTTAAGGACTTGACAGTGAATCTTTGTGTATCCTGTTATTTCTTTTCTCCCCAGATGCTCCAAGGATCCAGCTGATTACTGGCAGTTTGAAGGAGGATTTTTCTTCATCTGCTCCGTTGCACCGTCACTTCTGGTAAAGATTCATTGACCTAACTAATGTTTGTCCACATATGTTGTCAGAACTATATGGAGAATACTGTGGAAAACAAGATAAAACTGAAGCTAAAAAACAAAAGACAGCACCCCCTCAGCTCCACAGCCCCCCCTCTTTCAGAGGTGACATCATCACCTCCTCATTATAGGAACCTTAACAGGCAAGATAGACCAATGGAGAAATGCCAGTTTTAGTTCTTCAGACACAAATACTGCAAGTTGAAGTTTGAGATGATTTTAATCTGTTTTTACTTTGTCTTCCAAAACAAAAGGTTTACTTTACAGTATTAAGCTTGTGTTAATATTTAATTGATTAACACCCAATTTTATTATTAGGAAAAAGTTTGTGGCGTCACTTTATTGATGGTGTTTCATCATAATAATTTAGGAGAAATCTGTAAAATAACAGTTTTTCTCTGTTGCAATATTAATGAAACTTTCCGTAAATGTATTGTTTTTACACTTTATTGGAATTAGGACATTTTACTTTAATTTTACGGTTTTTGTTTGGCAGCTGCTGCTGACAGTCATTCGTCATTTTGTTACAGTTTGTGACATGTGACAAACGCTGACATGTTAAAAGGAGGTATTTCATCTCTGACACCGGCTCTTCCTCTTCCTCTTCCTATGGCGTCGCATCAATAAACCCAGACGAACGGTGACGTTAAGAGAATGATAATTACAGCAAAGCGAACTGTGGAATCTCAGCTGAAATGAAACAGGTGAGATCACGCAGAGGAACAGACACGTTGACGGAGTGAGTTTTTCCACAGGGGTCCTGCAGGAGGCAGCGGTCCAGGATCCAATCAGCATGTTTCACAGGCCAGACTCATTTACATTTTGCAAGGACAGCTCCTTATTGAATCTGCCACAAGGTCCTTCATTCAGCGTTTCAACTCGCCAAGAGAGAGCGGCTCTGTCAACTTTAAATCATCCTGCAGCCGCCCCCGTTGACTTGAAGCAGAATATATTTTGCATAATTCATTCTGGACTGATAGCAACTCTTCTGAGACAGTAAACACCAACAACTTTCTCTTTCAAACCCTCTGGAGTCTGGTGTCTGTTCATTGGAGAATACTATGAACATGTTTCATTAACATGAACTTAACTTTATTTATACGGTCATGTAGAGTCAACGCCGGGAAGCAAGTGCAAGGTGCTGATGTGGGGCTTTGAAACATGATCTAATACACATCTGTGGGCCATCTGTTATTAAAAGAGAGTCTTGAAATAGTGAGTTTCAACCATTCATTAATATTTTCAATCAGATTAATAATGAAAAAGTTTAAGATTAAAATCCCTTTACATGTAGAGCCAAAGAGACTGTAACTTCTGAGCTTTATTTCTTCCATTTTCAGC